ATGGCAAATTAAAGTATTAAGTAAAATTTCATTTATTGTCAAGGATCTTAAAGAGCTTAAGATAAAAGACTCTCAGAGAGTTATCTTGTCGAATGCCACATGACATGATTTTGAGCAAAATCCTCATGCAAATGTTCTTAAACTAGATAATATGATTATATTCCATATGCTTCTGCAATTGGACAAATCACATATGTCATGATTATGCATGAAGGCCAAATAATCCGTATGCTTGGAGCATGTCGAATGATACCAGTTTAATCCGAACAAGTCATGGTGTGACTTATAGGAACATTCTAAAGTACTTGCGAGAACTAGAGAAATATTCATGATCCGTGGAGTATTTGAAATCTATGTTTAAATTCGTTACACATATGCTAAACTTTCAAATAGATTGAGATGACTCTCAGTTACAATCGGGCGTGTTCTCATTATGAATGAAGAGAAATTTACATGAATAGTGTTTCCATGTAGATTTTAATTACAGTTACACATCAGAGTTAGAGTACATTATGGTTTGGAGAACCACATACACAGATGCTTAATGAATAGTTCATTATGACTATGAGTAATCCCATGACGCAAGTATTGGTATCTAAGTCATATTTGAGCATCTAATACATTCTCAATAGTTTTCTTTATATATGAGTTATATATATATATATATATATATATATATATATATATATATATATATATATATATATATAACTGAAAATGTTTGTGTTCACAAAGTTTATTCAAATCAAGTTTTGTTAAATCTACTTAACAAAGATCCTTCACTAGCTAAACCATGAAAGTCAAGCTGGTGTTATAGGCCCTTGTTGATATAAGTAGATGTATTTGATTGAAATTTAGTATTTGGATATTGGAAGAGTACAAGCAACATATATTGTAATTAGTTGATATATTAGATATGAGTCTTTCATTAAATAATTATTGTGTTCTATATTAGCATGCTTAAATCCTTGAATAAATAGGTTATTCCAAATGTCAATAGTCGTTGATAGTTGTGGGAGCATCTATGAGGTAAGACTAATATGAGTCGATTGGTTGATTTTCATGGAGATGAAAATAGCAAGAGGTGCTACCAACTTCATAGGTACTTGATTAGGTGAATAAGTATTGGACCTAACCCGCATTAAAATCACTTCATGGATCGTAGTCATGTGTGATGTTTTGATCAAGGTTGTATCTTTGTATTCTTAGACTTGAGATACACATGTGGGACTTGAAGTGTAGGAATTATTGTGATTTGACATGGTTTAACGATGTTCCGTAAAAGGCATTCATCAGGGCCATCGTTAGGTGTGACATGAACTACATTGATGGGCGTATCTACTCAAGATGGGATTTGTTTCCTCTTATTCGTTGAGAGTTAGACATCTAAGGCCTTAGTCAAAGTTGAACACTAATGAGATTGAGGTCAATCCATATTTCATGTTCAACAAGATGTCTGAGACAAATGAATAGTTGATACCACACTTTTAGTAACAATTGTTGCTTAGAGCTCCTGGAATTGGCTGTTAATGAGATGCCACCCTTCATATGTTGTTAGGGGCAATAGCCCATTGCTAGACGTCAGCTACTGTTTATGTCAGTCTGTAATGAATCTTATGCAAGTGGGAAATTGTTGAATCTATATGCCCAAAAATCATTATTGGGTGACATTGCTAATAATATATGATCATATAGGGTCACACCTTTATCAATTTGACACATTTTGTATATTTATTATTAATAAATAATATCAATTCTTGTATTTAATTAGGGAATAATGATTGTTTTGTGAAAATAATAGTTATAAGACAGTATAACTAGTTATTATTTTATATGATATGAATTAATAAGGCATGCACAACCTTTTAGACTAGTTGGATTGTTTTGTCTTTTACCTAAAGACAAAGTTTATATTTTATAAACTTTGAGTTTATAAAATTTGAAGAATCCTTCTCTTTTTGAAGGGTATGGCCGAAAGTATCTTTTAAGGGGTGGAAGTTGTTTGTCAACCTCCATAAGATGTCTCCCATGCTTCTAAAGGCTACCATTACTCTAGAGTATTTTAATGTTAAGCCCTTACCTTGCATGGGATATAAAAAGAGAGCTTCTAACATGAAAATTTGCTAGTTGTTTTACTCCTTCTCTCTATAGCCGAAACTTTTTTCTCTCTTCACCTCTCTCACATTTTGAAGCAAGTTTGGTGAATTAGAAATCCTCTTGAGTTGTCTCCTTTAGTTCTTATTTGAGTTAAGCACTTACAGGCTTAAGACACTCAAGAATACAAGAAGGAACTAGCATTCCAAGTGCCTTACTCTTAATGGTGGATACACATAAAGAAATCATACTCTTTAATTTTCGCTATCTTCATCAACAACCCAAAACCTAGTGGGTTCAAAGGCTTCAAAGGTTGTCATTATAAAACTCTTTAGTTGTTGTATTTCATTCTTACCTCTATAAATAGATCATTGATGGTTTGGTTTTGTTATAAACTAAAAACAAACTTGTTATTTTTATAAGACTTCCGTTATGGTTTCTGTGGAAAACACACTTATATTTTGTATCAAAACCCATCAGATATATCGCCGAGATAGGTATTTAATAAATCTTTATTTTTTCAAAAATCAGTCCAGACAGAAGTTTTAGAGATGACATGTCGTCGGTACAAGTAGCTTCTATCCCGACGACATTTATCCCAATGAATTTTTTTATTTATATTGACGACATGTCTTCGGTACAGGCCTTCTTGAAGACATGTTGTCAGGATAGGGTAAAAAATCATCGCTACATGGGGTGACCCTTCTAGTGTTTTAGTTACTTTGCATATGTTCTTGCACACACCAATCTAAATATAATGGACACCTTACTAGGTCTTAAAGGATGGAATGATTATTCAAGCTGGAAAAAACGAGGATATTATCAATCCAATTATGATAGTAGGAAACACATTCATATATATATATATATATATTATATATATATTATATATATATATATATATTGTATCTTATAATATAAAGATTCACATTCTTAAATAATGTATATATGAAACTTATGAAGTTTATCCTGCTTGAATATTTGTTTATATAATAAGAATCATATACTTTATGGTTATGTTTTCATGTTAGGGTTATTTGTTAATCATCATTTAACTAATATTGTTTGCGTAGTTTATGATATAAAGAATAACATTCTTAAAGAATGTATGTAAAATAAACATTTTTAGTTTTAAGCTTATTTTGTAGTATATTAGTAATAATTTTTTTTATATACAATAAAATATTTTTCTATTGAACAGGATGAAATTTGAAGTTCGATTTTAGAGGGTTCAATTTCTTCTTTGGTTACCATCAATACACAAATTCATAGAAAAATCCCTAAATTTTGATTTCATGGCAAACATTTGTTACATGATGATATTCTTATAGAATGACATTCTCACAAAATATTATTTTCAGTTATTCTCAGATATGCTTTGATAATGATTAAAGATATATGTCTGCTTTTATAATTTAATTTAATTCTCATGAGAATGTCGGATTTGAACATGTAATATGTGTTATATTCATTCATTACACTTTTAGTTATATCTATTCTCATAGAAAGTTAGACATTATAATTTATGTTCCTTCATTCTTAATCCATATTGTTATTCTTGCATTTGTAATTTGTAATAAGAATAATTATCATTTTGATACAAACTGTTATTATTGATAATATATACATTTATATTATTTAAGAATGTTAATTCTATAAAGGCCTCTTAAATGAAATCATAATCTTTAAGAATGAAAGAAAAACATACGAGAATGTATTGGAAAAAGATTTGTATGTGTTGAATGATGTCGATTATAAAAATCTGATTTAATTTGAATGTTTTGAATAAAATCCAAGAGTTGATTTGATTTTGATTAATTAGTTTGACTTAGTTTTTTTCGAAAGAGATTATGTGACATCCCATAAATTAGGTATGAATCTGTAAACAGTCAGTTCACCGCAAACCTCTTTGTAACTTGATCTATTGAGTTTTAATGCATATTTTACTAAAAATATAGTGTCATTTCAATTACAATAGGATATGAAATGGTACCTTATTTCCAATTATAGAAAATATCAAACGAATCTTAAAGCATAAACTGTAACCCTAGTTAACGTCTGAAAAACTGAAATTTTGTATTAAGTGTTTGTGAACAAAGAAAATATTCTAGACTCGTATTACATGCTTCCCTGATCTCGGATATATAAAGAACATCCAAAACGGAGTTCATATGCAGAAGATACGACCGTTTTAAAAACCAAACCGGTATAACATTGATTTTACTTGATTTGCATAAACCGCTTTAAGCCGTTGAGGCACTTGTACACCTCAGATAGAAAGTCCGAGAGTGTTTTTGGACTTAGACTACGGTCTAATATTTGATTTACTACTTGAAATATTTTTAATAAAAATATTTGTAAAAGTCGAAAAATCAGACCTTTCAGACCAATTAGACGTGACACTTTAAACGCAATTTCTCGGAGTTCTACAACTCGAAAAATTTATCCTTTCGAGTTTTTGGAATCCTTGAATTAAATTCCATCATTCACCGCCTTCGGAAAAATTAGTTGATGTCGGAAATTGGACACGTAAAGCGAAAACCGTTTCTAAGGCATTTTAAATATTTAATGGGGATATTGCACTATTAAATACATATTGGACAAGAAGGAGAAATGGCCAGCCATGCACCTCTCTCTCTCTCTCTCTCTCTCTCTTTGAGAAGTGAACTGTTACACAAACCCACCTTGTAAAATCTAATAAAGGGATGTCCAGAGAATATCTTCTACATTCACCAAGAAGGCTATGCACAAAAGATGAAAGGAAGTAGAGAGCCAATAACATTCGAAGACCACCTTCTTACCTGTGTATCAAATTGCTACAAATAGACATCTTTACCCTCTTATCTCATCACAATTCACAGCAACAATCTCCCTAAGTTCTTTCCCTCTCCAACCCTCTTTTTTTCTCAGATTTGAAACCACCACCGGTGGCTTTTGAGCATCGTGAACCACTCACTGCCGCCACCCTTATGACCACTGAACATCACCAAGATCCACTGCACACCCACTGTTTTGGTTGAGTTCCACCAGCACCAACCTGTTGCCAAATACCCCACTGAACCCCCCTTGCCAAAAGCCGTCGGAAACAGCCACCCACAACCCACTACCAACAAGAGAAGCACCCAACAGCCTCCATCATCGGTAGTGCTGCTGTTTCTGATCGTCACTGGTTCCCTACCTCCTTCCCCTCGTCGTTCCCGTCGAGCATAAGCAAGGATGAAGCAACAGAATGCCACCAGAGTAGCCCCCCTGCCTCACACAGTTGCCCACAACCACCGTTCGTAGCCACCACCTGCTGCCTAGTACCCCCACCTGTGGTTGCTAGTTACAACCTCGACCGATCAATTGAAACGAGTGATAATTATCTTATTCATTTCTACTACGTCCAATGAAGCATTGTAGGGGGTACTTTAGTCACATAGTTCGGTTATAGAACTCACTATAAACATTAACTGGATCTCTTTACCTAGAAACCAAGGATTCGTTTTCTCTGTTTATCAAGCATTTGAAGTATGGATTTAGTTTGATTTCTCTATTTATCAAACATTATAAGAATGCATTTACTTATGTTTTCTCTCTTTATCAAACACTTTAAGTATGGATTTACTTATAATTTCTCTTTTTATCAAACATTTTCAACATGGTTTTAAATACAAAAGGAATACTTTTTAGACTTTTAAAGTATCATTACTGCGGTTAGCAGAAAACCTGCAACTCTCACCAACCTTTGTGTTGACTCTCAAACTACATGTATTCTCAGGAGATCATTGAACCTGCCTTTAGCAGAAGAAATTTTCATGGATTTCGGGCAACCTAGTTTCACCTACTTTTTGTTATATCGGCCTACTTGTTATGGCGAATTTATGATCTTATTATTAATATTTGTATTAACCATGTATTCAAACCTTAAAGTGGAATATAACTGATGTGTTTTTATTGTTGTAACTTATGTTGTTTATTCAATTTGCTTGTGATCCATGACTTAAATCATACAGCCTGGCATATTACGCCGTCTCGGCCGGATGTGTAACATATTACTTTGACTTAGTTGCTTAAAAGATATGTAATTTTCATTTATCTTTCTTAATGAAATGTCATATTTTCCCTTTTAATTAATTAAGTATAATAATTATAAGGGTAATTAATATCTCATGTTAATAACATATATCTTAAGATCACGACTCTTCATTCTTTTAATATTACAGCCAGAATTTGATCATATATTCACACGATATTTGTAATTCACATTTGATCCTAAGCTAGTTTAAACATACTACTTCAATCCAATATCAAAATACTACTTGACTATAGATGTTTAAGAATTTAGATATTCTGCATTTAATTACTATAATTATGCTTATTATACGATACAATTTGAACTATACTAATCAAGACAATATCTTTTATTTATTAGTGAAATCATAACACAAAATTGAAAAATACAATTTGATTTAATAATTGACTTTTGGACATATTGGTGACAAAACAATCGAGTACTAAAATTACATGATAAAACACACATCACTTGAGGCTTCTCCATGCTCAAAATCTTGAAAAGGGCACCAACAAATACTCCACACCATATAACTGCAATAAAGATTGATGCTCGTGATGTGTAAATGCCACAACGTGGATATTACAATCTTAAATACTTTTATCAAATTTTGAATTAAATTAAATATTATATTTTGTAAGAAAAGATAAAAACTGAATTCATAGATATTACAAGTGATATTACCTTCCAAATAAACAAGTAGAATGATTCAATGGCCTCATTGTTTTTCAGATCAACCAAGTTTGCTTCTCTCCAAAGTGTAAAACCAAGAATGCTATGACCGATCACCTATACAGAACAATTAGATGATGTAAGGCTTTCATAGGCTTGTGATCAGCTCCGTTTTTTAAATGAATAATATATAAATATATAGATGGTGTAAGTTCTTTTTCCCCTCTGGAGATATCAAATATCACCAAAGATGTAAGAAATATATACAAAATTACATTTGCATCCTTCATCTTTTTAGCCTTACAGATCGATGGAACTTTTTTATTTTTTTATTTTTTGAAAAGTGAAGACCAAGATGGTTAATTTAAAAATATAAATTATTAGTTATATTTATAAGAAGATATAATTCATGAGAAACTTCATGACAACATTGAGTATATTTTCTTTAGAAAGCTGTGATTAAAAGTAAAAAAATTAACTAACAAATTTGGATCCTAATAAACAAAACAAAAAGGGTAAAGTACTCTGGAAATTATAATCACTAATTAAAGGGGACACATATTATACCAGTTAACGCAAAAACTATAGTTATAATTTCGTTAAAAAAATATATAATAGAATATGTTACCATCATCGATCGAGTCCAAAAACCGGTTGATAACAACCCGATTAATATAGCCATACCATATGCCATCTCAAGGAGCCCTATACATAGCCAAAATACCTGCAAAAATATTGATTCAACTTGTTATTTCATTTCAATTGATGAGCGCTTTTGAAAAAGTAGCAAAAGCTTATGATAGATATATAGTTTATAGCTTACTGGTTTAGTCCCGACTTTCAATGCCAACGAGTTAACTCCATTTATCTTATCTCCCTCAACATCAGGGATGTCCTAAAATTCACATTATATATAAATACAATATCAACGTCATAAAAGGCATGCTATTTCTATGATATTTTATAGTAAGAAAGGTGGTGTACCTTAAATAGTGCGGCAACTACTGCATAGATGCTCATGATTCCAGATACAAAAATAACATGCTTAGAAACTAAGAGTGGCCTTCCATGTATCATTGTCTGTAACGTTTGATCATCATGTTAAATAGATTATTCTTTGATAATCTATGACTTAATTTGTCAAATAAAATAAATATGCATGTATAGGTCCAGATTTATATATGAAATTCTTTAAATAATCAATTAACCTGTGCATGGAGGTTGAACAAAATAGGAATGATCGCTCCTTGTAGTGACCAAACGCTCATTGCCGCAAGTGCAGGATCCCTCTTCCATCGTAGTAATGGTAGCTACAAGTATGAATATATATACCCAAAATTGATATAATTTCACATTAAAAGTTATTTAAAATTGTATTTGAAATGCATTAATAAAGAAAGACTTACGTGAACTGAATAGGCCGTTCCCACAGCATACCATAAGAAGAGACCTAACTTTAACGGCCAAGATTTGATACTCCATCCGAGGCAAAAACCCTAATAAGCATCAATTTGCACCATTGTAATTAAACGCCCAAGATTTGATACTCCACTCTAATTTTTAATTTGTTGTACATGTTAGTGTCACAGTCTCTAGACACGGATTCTTATATTTCTTTAATTATACGCTTTCACTAGTTCTTTTGGAGAAATAAAAAATCTCTCCAAATATCTTATACTAACATGGTATAAGAGCTAATATATCCAATATGATTATCATCACTCTTTCTCATGATATGTCCCATAGCAGCTACACATATATCCTCTCTCTTCAAAGACTCATTTCTTTTGTGTGTAGAGCTATTTTATAGAGAGAATATTATAGTATTCCATATAAAACATGTTAATCGTACCAAAATAGCATACAACAAGGTGAGTCGGGTTCCCGTTTCAATGGAAAGCTCGCCTGATGGCAAGGGCAAATGTGGCTTGTTAATTTTGTCGATGTCGACATCTCTCTGATAACTGATTTATGCTCGCAACATACAAATTGGCCAAAGCGCCACCGATGACTGCCTGAAAATATATATCATTTTTGAATCGAAGTTATATGAATTATAATTTTATTGTTTAAACGGATTTAAGTTTATCTTTTCACAGAAAAATTACTGTTATTGTGGAAGAAACCAATTACCTGCAAAAGCCCAACGAAAAATAATGGAGTAAAATCTGAAAGCTTCTGGATGGCAAGCAAAGAAATGGAGACGATGGACAATACCTGCTCAAGGAAAATTAACGATGAGATTCACATAATAGTTTTCGGTCAGACCTCAATAATTGCCGAAGACATTATTCAAAGTCCATACATAACTGCTAATAATAAATTGAATAATTCAGAAAACAAGAAAAAAATATACAGTATATAATAAATTATTAACTAAAATGAAGACTATTTTTAACAAGAAAAATATATGCATGAAACTTTGGCGGCTACTTTACTTGTTCATAAAAGTTAACCACAAATATCTTCTTAGTAAAAAAATATTTAAATTGTTTTGTTTTGAGACAAGAAAAGAAGTCACGCATGGAGGCGTGGAGTAGTAAGCATCCATAATGCATGCATGATATAATGGAATGGAGTGATGGTTGAGGTGAAATGTCTTTGTTGTCTTTCAATGATTAAAACAAACCATAGGATGCAAAGTTGATATTGAATGGATTTTTAGTTCAATCGTTTCAATGCATTATAGAAATTAAATAGTAAGTTGTATGAAAATTAAAATAATGATTTGGTATATTAAACTTTATACAATTAATTAAATGCACTGTTGACTTTAGTAAGAATAAGAAATCATACGGTTCCTTGAAGTGTGTAAACTTTTGAATATCTGTAAATAACTTCCAATGTAGCTCCAAGTGATTTGCCATCGATTTGAGGACGAAGAACAAAACCTTTAGAGGCATCAATTGCCAGAACTTTTGTTATTGGTCTTTGATGTCTATGAACTTCTGTAAAATACTTGTTGTCACTTTCAGGATCGTTAAGTTTGCGACTTTGTTGATGATTCATTCTCCCAAATATGCTATTAGAATGCCCAAATGTGGTTTTCCTCACTCGAATTCTTGAAACTTTTACTCTTTCATGATCACCTACATGAATATCGAAAAACGATAGTTGTTGGTAATTTCTTATCCCCTTTAATTAGTATATGTTTTGTAACTTATTAAGCAATGTATAAATAAAGCACATGTCAAATGAGAGATGATGGCAGAATATTTTAAAAAGTTATATTTAAGAAGAATGAAAAATGCTTACAAGAAGCAACTGCAGTCGCCAACAATGAAGGTCGTAAAGAAGAAGACGATGACGACTTTAAAGCTGATCCAATAGGCATTGATTTCATGTTTTTTACAGATAATAAGAGATCATGAGAAGTGCAAAGCCTTTGTTGTTCTATATATAGCAGTGGGTACGTGCATGTCAGCCCATAAATTGCTACAATTATCCCTCGATCAAAACTTCAAAACTCTTAATTATACCATTTTATTTGCTATACATTTACACTATTGTCGTTTCGATATGTTAAGTTTTTGTTTTTTGTTAGTATATAAAAAAAAGCATGTACTATTTAAAACAAATTACAATTCACATAAATAAAAGTATATTCTCAGTCTATATTAGATATGTACACATATTAAATATTTTTTTCATATTACTTATTTTAACATTATAACATACGTTGTATTTCATTAAGGCTGCGCACTAAAAATGTCATCTTAAAACACATATCTTTGAAATTTTGATGACAAAATTATTTTTAAATTTATTATTAGACTACTATTATATTAGAAAATAAAAAAATAATTTAAGTTAATTAATTAATAATAATAATATAATATTGATTTTCAATAAACATTACATTACTTTAAATTTAAGGAAATTTTAATACAGTCGAAGAAAATATAACTTTTTGATTTTTTTTTTTTTAATATTTTCTATAGAAAATATAAGGATTCTTGCACAGACTTGCTAGAGGGGGAGTCGAATATGATCGGTTAATAAAGTAAAGTCTTTGTTATAATAGTATGTTTTCTCGGATCAAACCGACAAGTGGATTTGGAGCATAACTCTTCTCGTGTTTATGTGGTGTTTTCTGCCCATGGTCTTTTGGATGATGTTTTCTTGCCTTAGGGTTAGGGAGTAATTAGGGGTGTAAGTGAGACAAGCCAACTCGTGAGAAACTCGAGACCGACTCGGAAAATACTCGAAATCGACTCGACATTAATCGAGCCGAACTCGAGCTCGAGCTACTCGAGTACCTTATCGAGCCGAACTCAAGTACTAAAATACTCAGCTCGTAAGGCTCGCGAGCTTAGTCGAGCTTAGTGTAATTTACATATATGTCATTTCTTTATAATTGTTCATTTATAACATATATGTCATTTCTTTATAATTATTCATTTATGACATATATGGTTGATGTCATATTGATATTAGGTGATTAATAGTGGTTTTTTTGGTAGTTTGGACATTTGCATGTGGAATGTTTAATATTTCTTACTTAATTTAGTGATTTTGATTTTTTTTAAATTTTAGTCAAGCCGAGCCGAGCCGAGCTTGAGACTGTTGAGTATTTCACGAGCCCGAGCTCGAGCTTAAAATCAAGGCTCGAGTCGAGTTTCGAGCTCGAGTATTTTAGTCGAGCCGAGCTTCGAGCTTGGTAGTATTCGGCTCGACTCGGCTCGTTTACACCCCTAGGAGTAATCCAACACGTTAGAATAATTTTATTTTGTGCATTGCCCCATCTGCAATGCATTACTAAAAACGACGGGGTTCTTTTTATAATTTTCCTAGCAAATTTCTAAGAAATAGTTTTTTCTTAGGGATTCATTTCTTTGGAAAAACAATCGTAACAAACATTTCCAAAATATTTCACGAGAAAAATATTTTGTATGAAGTATCGACGACTTTTCCACATATGTCTTTGTGTTAGGTGCATTTTATGCACCTATTTTACACCTTTATTCCGCACCATGACACTGCATTTAGGCTTAAGCTCATATATTATACATGTCTTTTCGAGATATTCCATGAAATTATTTCACTCGCACACTTTTGTGATATTTCATGGACTCTTGGAGGCGGGATCTCGCTTAGGGAGGTGATTAGAAAATGCAGACAAGATTTCATGACTTTCGGAGCATTGGGGGGGGGGGGGGGGGAAGATATGGAAAATTTGAGGATTGCACCCATTCATGGACTTCCACAACTGTGTCAATTATAGCCATGAGTTTACACTGGCCGTGTAATCGAGCGCATTTCAGCAACGCACTTTGAAGGCCCCAACCATTTTGAGCAGTCTATTTATTGCATTTACACAGGTCGTGTAAACGTCGGTGTAAATTTATACGGGACGTGTAAACGTGGACGTGAGTTTAGTGGCAGTTTCTCATCTTTCCTAAAAAGAGGCAACCAAATTCATTTTTTGATCTATCGACTTTTGGAGAAGAGAAGGAGATTTTCTGGATGATAAACACTTGGGAACATTTGATTTCATTTTATAAGAACTTTAATTTCATTTTCTTGATTTGTGACCTTGTTCTAGTCATGAGTGGTTAGAACACTAGTTTCTCCAACTTCATGTTTTGACTTTTTAGTTGTGATTTCAATCATGTGATTTGATGTTTGCTTCCAATTCCTATATAGTGAATTTGATTTTGTTTCAATTGAATATTTGATTCTAATTGTGATTCTTATTGGCCATTTGAATTAGGGTTAGGTCATTCAAGTTATCTAATTGCAAAATCCGTAATTGTTTTGTGAATTCGACTAAGTAACAAGCACTAAACTGATTTCCATTGAATGAATTTAGTGTAAATCTTATTCACATACTCTTACGCTCCCGAGCTTGTGAGGAGTATTGGGTGTTGTTGGGAACATTCACATAAATCTTATTGCAACCTTTTGATTTCTATCAAAGAGCTTGTTTAGATTTAAATTAGAAGGTTATGTTATTTTCAAAGAGCTTGTTTTGAATTTAACAACTTGGTGAATGAGAAGTGTTAGAGCTTGTTAACACTTTCAAGTACCAACTTAGGTAGAATTAAGTAGATATGATATCATCCTTGGAATCATATTGCTAAATTATCTTACATAGAGTTGGAGTTCTCACAAATCCTGAATTTGTTTCATTTGATCGATCATTTACTTATTGATTTATCCTCTTGTTTAAATGATTGCATATCAACCCCTCATTTATGTGACCGTTATTGTACCTTACACAAAAAGGTATAAGCATATGTCCCGTGTCTCTGTGGATCGACTCTGCTTACCTTGTATTACATTTTTAGTGCAAAGTAACAGTGTTTTTGGAGTCATTTTGTACCCCTTTATTTGTTGGGCTTGACATACCTAACAAATTGGCACCATTTCCGGGGACACGGTGTTACTAATTGTTTATGCACAGATCTTTTTGTATAGGTACTCCACTACCAATTGACACGGAGATAGAGAAGATTGCAAAGAGGTTACGGAAGCAAGCCAAACTTCGTAAGAGGCAAACAGGTTCCAGGACTTCTTCATCATCTACCCCTCCAGTCATCAACATTTGGGAGGACATTGTTGGATTAGATGTCTAAGCCCATAACTATTATTGGTATGTATTCGACCCGACTTGGCATGGTCCATTTGGGTTGCATGGCATCGGAACGATTTGGATAGACTTTTGTGAGAAAAGGATATATATGGTTTATTAATATATTATAAGTTCTAATATATTAATATGAAATCGTATTATTTTAATTAGTATTGTTCAAGAATTAATTTGGAATTAATTTTGTGATCAAAAGACACTAATTAAATATATGGGGATTGATTGTGTAAATCATTCATTCTTATATATGTGGGCTTATGATCCATAGTTCTTCATGTTGGGCTAAACCCATGGAGTAACCCATGGATACTCCATGGAGGTTTTAACCCATGGAGCATGAAGAATACGGAAAGACATGAGTTACGTAGTGTAACCCTAACAGCCTCAATATATAAGGACCCCATGGCTCAAGAAATTGGCCCTAAGGGTTCATATGAGAGGGCTAGCCGATTTAAGAATAAGGACTTTTCTCTCAAGTTATTCCAAGTTGTTGTTGGTGTTGTATGAACCATTTGAGGTGTCACACTTGAGGCACTCGGCTCTTAAGTTCCATGGAATCAAGCTACAAAATAAAGGTATGTTACTCTAACTAGTATCTTATTTGGTATATGAAAATGCATGCTAGTTATAGGTTTAATGCCTTGGAAACCATTTGCATGTATAATTAGTGAAAACATAGATCCAAGGTATTTAGGGTTGTATGTGCACCATAGGATGTTGTAGTATACCATAACCCTTCAGACATACCCCTCTCAAGTGTGTCAGAAAAAGAAACAGAAACCCTCTCACTCTCACCTCTACCATCCTCATCCAGAAATACCACTCCACCCTCTTCACCTACTCACATCATCCTAGACTCTACACCCACATAAACCTCAACTCCTACTTCTACCATGGGAAACCAAGGAGGAAATGGAGGTAACCCACTCGAGTAAACCCTTTGCCATTGGGCGAGGCAAGAGGTTACTCAACAACCTCTTTGCATCACATATTCGACAACCAACAAACCTTGAACTAAAATCCGGACTCATCCACTTACTCCCAACCTTTAGAGGCCTTGAAAACGACGATCCATACAAGTTCCTCACTGAATTCCATGTTGTATGTGTCTACATGAAACCACATAATGTCATAGAGGATCAAATCAAGCTCAGGGCATTCCCCTTCGCGGTGCAAGATGTAGCAAAAGATTGGCTTTATGACCTCCCACCAGGGACGGTTACTACATGGGTAGATCTTGCACGGTTGTTCCTAGAGAAGTATTACCTAGAAATGAAAGCTTCAACCTTGTGTAGGGAAATTATCGGCATCAGGCAGAAAAAGAATGAAGCCTTGCACATCTATTGGGAAAGATTCAAAAAGTTGTGCACCCGATGTCCGAAACATGGTATCTCCAAATACAACCTCCTTCAATACTTATGTGAAGGCATGTTGCCATAGGAAAGGAGGCTTCTTAATGCTTCAAGTGAAGGATTCATTGTTGATAAGACCCCTACATAAATTCCGAAATTGATAAAGAATACGACTGAAGATTCAAAGCACACTTCTCAAGAAGACAGATGGTACGCCGATGCACCTCGAGGTGTCAAAGAAGTTAGTACTCCACAAATCTAAGCTCAATTATCCGAACTTACAAAAGTTGTCATGATGCTCGTAAAAGACAAAGGTGTGCAATCTACACCCCGTCCTTGTGGTATATGCACACATCATACCAATATGTGCCCTCAACTTCAAGAAGAAGA